AAGTAAATTTTATCTTGTGCAACTGCTCTAGAGGTTTGGGGTTTGTTCTTTCTGAGACTTTGGAACACAGCTTACTTCCAAGCCCTGAAACTGAACTCTAAACAGAATAAGTATTATTAGACTCTTCCCATTACAAGTCTTTGTAGTATCTTCCYTTCTTGGATCCAAATGATTCTAGGCAGTGTGTCCTAGGAGCAGWTCTCCCTCTGAATGACACGTGTTTYGTGCACTTCCTCTTACAGCCAAGGCCCAGAAACTTACACTGAACAACAAGTCCATATCTGCCTTTGGGAGTGGGGCTGTGTGAGTGCCATCATCCGTTTGGCTGCACTCAGCTGGTCAAGTGATGCATAAAGCTTTTTGCAGTATGCAAATATGCCAGTCCCTGGCTCCCAAATCCATGGATTGGCACTTCAGGTATTGATCACAATTCAATATTGAAAATAACATTACATCTTCAGGTGGTTTTCCTTTCTCATGTTTGTATTAAAAGAAAAGCTAATAAACTCTATTTTAATTAAAGTTAAAGGTGAAGAGTGTGTTCTGTACAGCTGTTGGATTCTGCTGCTCCTCAGAAAAACCCAGTGCTACTTGATAAGGCCTCTCCACTCCCCACCCCAGCCCATCCCCTTCATTTGGTGSCAGGGAGTTGGGAATGTCTGGGAGCAGGCAGCAGAGTCCTGGCAGGGGTGAAGCCCTGCATGGCTGCCCAGCACTTCCCACAAGGCCTTTGGATTTAGATGTTGACTTGGGCTGCTCAAATAAACCACTCACTAACAGATTCTTTGCACTTCAATGGTCTTKAAGTAGGGCCAGTCCCTCTGGAGGTGATTTGGTGGGTTTTAAGTCCTCCCTTGAGGAGCACTAAATTGGAAGCTACAAGTGACCAGCTCCTGGATTGACTTGTGACCTAATTGCTAATTGCTTTGCTTCCCTCAGCACTGCCAGGTGCCTTCAGCTGTGTGAGATGTGTCTGCTGCTCTTTGCTGTGGGGCTGCTCCAAAAGCAAGCCACTCACTGCAGGCTGCTCAGCAGAGACTGGGGCACTCATTTCCCTTCTTTGCCAATGAAATGGAGACTCTTCTTGCTGATGTGGATGGCAGGTGAATGACAACTCAAGCTGATAGCTGCTTCTGCAATTCMTCCTGCAGGAGATGGTTGCTCCAAACCTACTTTTGCTTTGAATATTACCCGGCTTTAGTTTTACTATAGCCCAGAGAAAATTACCAATGACATTTTGATCTGTTCAGCACATACTAAGCAGGCCTGAACTACAACTCAGCTTCTCAAGAGAGAAAAAATAGCAATTCCATTTACCAGTCTGGTACCCCTAAAATAGTTAGATTCTGGAAAACATAGCTAGTGTATTTCTTAACTAACAGTAAAATGTAAACCATRCAGCTCTTTTAAGTGCTGGGCAGTAATGGTGTTTCAGAAAGAATTGCATTTAGGTGGTTCTGCTCAACAATGTGAAGAGGGAATACCCTCCAAGTTGCACTATTCTATATGCTGGCAACACTTACTTCAAAAGAGGCAAAAGAAAAATTACAGTCATGGCTAGAATACTGGAATTGCAGAGACTGTTACCTACCTCTGCTCCCAAGGAAGAGCAACTGGCTATGGGATCAATGTACTTTGTTTTTCTTAACCCGACAGCTGAGTAATACTTAATCTATGTTGAGGTGACCTCTGCCTGCTTTCAGTTCCAGGGTAGCACTCCCCATCTGTCAGTAAATGCTGTTTGCAGAGACAAAGCTCTGTTATGGCCCAGCAAGACCAATGTGAGCACAGGCAGAGGAGCAGGAGCAGTGTGTGTCAGCAGGGGCAGGAAGCCATGGAGGTGKTGGTGGGCTACGATGCCCTGGGATCCAGCAGCCCCTTCCCTTTGTGTACAGGGACTGTGTATTTTGTTTCCAAGGGAATTTTRTGAGAACTACTTCAGTTTGGGTTTGGCAGTTAAGAGGACAGGCACTTGAGGGATGGAATAAATGTCAAGACCATTGCTCCTGGATAAGAGTAGAGGTGTCAAGCACACCCTGAGCAAGCAGAAGAGGACAGAAGGGTCATTGAGCCGAGAGCTTGCATAGGGGTTGGGCAGGCGTGCTCAGGGCAGGGTAAGCTGCTCTGCTCAGAGCTCAGCACTGGGCAGGCTGCAACCCCCATCCTGTCCTGGCATTTCCCACAGCACAGTGTGCAGGACAATGACATAGAATTGCCATTCCCTGCTGTTACCTGGGAAAGCTGTGCTTTCACCAAAGGAGCTGCTTGCCAACATAGAGTGAATCACTGGTGCYGCCAAAGTGACTGCCAACGTGCCCCTACTAACACACACCCCCAATGAATTAGCAAAAGAGCACTTAACTGGCAGAGCATGGGCCTGKTTGTATTAGGATTAGGAAAGTCTCAGGCTGCCTTCACAGACAAGGCATTTTCTAGGTGAGATAACTCCTTTGGCTTCTGATCTATATTAAAACCTATTAAAACCTATTCAAAGACCCACACGGTCCCCATGCCACCTCTCATTCCCCATGCCACACAGCCTGAAATYGTACTGTATTTTAACCACTCAGCCCCAGGGAAGCTGGTGACTGCCTCGAGGGTGGCCTGAGTTGACCAAGTGGAACCTGGAGAGCACAGGAAAGACACAGCAGCACAAGCATGAGGCCGGCTGTGTGGGATCACATGTATGCTCACAGGAACAGAGTCCTGCAGGTGATTCACACGGCTGCCTGCAGGAAAAGCCCTTCCCTTGTTCGGAAACAGTGGCTGGAGGTAAACGGTGCATGGCAGCGCTGCCAAACTGCTGTTTACTGAGGAGCTGAGAGCACAGCAGCCTCCTGGCAGGCAGSAATGACAAGGCTGCCAGCAACGTGCTGGAGTTACTTCCTGGAGCAGGCAGTGAGYGTCCACAGCTCCTTGGGAAGAACCTGATGCTGATGTGGTTCACATGTGCCGTCCACACCCCAAAACTGCTGCCCTTCAAGTGATAGGATCAGCCTCAATGGTGTGTTTTGCCTGTAGTTGAGCATGGGGTGGCAGATCCCTGCAGAATCAGGTGAGTCAAGCTGTGGGACTGTCAGGTTTATCACTGGGTGCTGGAATGCTGCTTCCAGGTAAGAGATCCTATCTGGTGGGACCTGGTGTGTGCCTACACACCTAACTAGATAGCAGAGTCCTGCACCATTAGTCACCACGGAGCCAGCCTTAACCCCTTGCTGTCCCTCCTGGCAACAGGAGAGGTCGCACAGCAGATGGCAACACGGCCACCCCAATGGACCGGAGTGCAGCATCCTGCTTGGCTGAGAGCTGTCATCTGCTTGGCCTGAAGAGTATCAAAGGGCACCTCTTCAGAGCCTGATCTCAGCGCAGGGCGAGGGACACACTATGCAAACTGCGGCAGGCCAATAAAAGTTGATAGTTAACCCTGTTTTAGGAGTGAGGCGTGACCTTGGCCCGTCGGGGGAATGCGCTGTCAGCGAGGTCACGGGCACAGCCAGCAGGAACCTGAGGCTGCAGCACCCAGCCTGGGCACACGGCGCTGAGGGCACGGATGTGTGCCATCCTCCGTGCCAAGGGCAGCGCTGCCTGGGGTTCATGCACATGGAACATGCTATTCCTGTGCCACGCAAGTGTAGTTGCCTCACCAGTTCCCCACGATCCCCAGAGATAAAAGCCCAGCACATGCCTCCCCATCCCCCCAACAGGTAAGCTTTTAAGGGAACCAGCACTCAAACAGAAGCAGAAGTAAAGAAAACAACACACACTGCTTTTTTATCCTCATAAATAACTAATCTTGATACTTCTCTTTGAATAAAATTTCTTCAGCTTTTCATAAAATATAATACAGTTATTTAAGCAACATTGAACACCATTGATAATGGAAGAGGCAAAACCCAACATGTAAATTGGCTACAGCAGACAGGGCACACGGCAACGGCTCCTTCCTCGCTCCTGCCACATGTTGCTGAGAAGCCAGGCTCACACACGAGTTGATTGCATTACCCCACCGTTAGATCAAAGCTGAAAACGCTCGTGCATTTTTCAATAGGCAACGGCTTGTAGCTAATCTTGGATTTCTTGACACAGTCAGTTGCACTTCGGAAAAAACAAAAACAGCAAAATACCACCTTTGACATGGTTTTGTTCATTGTATTGCATGATGTGTGTTTAGCTGTATCTACAAAAGGCACTATAGAGAGAGAGGAGTCCAGCAAGGTGTGGACTGGAGCAGGTTGGAATCATTTAAAGCCCTGGATTACAACACGAGACTACCCACAGCATCTCTGCCCCTGACCTGCCTCACTGCTGAGAACACACCTTAACCCGTATCAAAGGTCACTACAGCTTCTGTATGTACAAATTACACTATAATACAAGTATTTAGAGTTTGTAACACAATATGGTGCAATTCTGTCCACAATGAATTACTCCAACACGCTGGAGGGGACTGAGCCTTATTGCAAGAGTGCRGATGGGTGCAGCTGAACAGTCTGTGAGCCCTCCATCCCTGCACCTGTCTCCTCTATCCAGGATATCCCAGAGACACTCATGCAACACCTTTATCTGGAGATGTGCCACTCAAGTGTTCACTCACTTCCCAGCCTTTGGTTTTAAAWTAAGGTGGAAACCTTTTTGACTGAAGTGGTCCAACGGTGTTGAGAACAACCTCAGATCCTTGCAGTCCTGCGGGAGCAAAGCCAGCAGTTGTTCTCCAGTGCCCCAGCAGCTGGGTCACAGTGCCATGCTTGAAGGAGGGCAAACAAGACTCAAATAATGGCTGGGCAGTTACATACTTGATCATTGCTTAGAGCAGGGGAAAAAAAAATTAAAAACCAGGTACTTTCACAAGTGGCCTGAAGCCAGAGGCAGCCAGCCTCATCCCGTGCCACAGCTGGAGCCCCTTGCCCTGGCTGCACTCAGTGATTTTGACAACAGGGCCCCCCCACCATTATTCTACTTACTGAAACCCTGCTGTCACACTGCTTAATGCCAGGCAATGGCTCTGTCAGTGCTCAGTTGCTGTCTGATCCAGGGAAGTGAAAAAGGCCTGGGAAGTTGGAGGGGAAGAAGTACGAGCACTCTGCTATGTTTTCCTAAATTAACTGCTCCCTCTGAAACCTGGTACTGTCTCTGGCAGCAGCACAGCTTTGAAAAAAAGCAGTATTCAACAAGTATTGAAGCTGACTGACTGGAAAACCCAGCTGCTGCTCCGGAGAGACAGCCTGCTGCCCGGCCAGGACACCCCCTGCAGTCACTCAGCACAGGGCTGCCATCACCCTTTTAGGGCCGGCTGTGCCACGCTTGGCTGCTGTGCCATACACCACAGCACCGGACAGGGCACCGGACCCGCCTCACTCACCCCAGGTACCCCACACGGCACATGGGACACACGAGGAGCTCACCCCAGTGCAGGGGCGAGAGGCACAGAGCAGCAGCCAGCCCTTGCCAGGGCACACGGCAGCTCAGCAGAGCCTGCTCACGGTGCCAGAGCCAGCCATGCCAGAACCCCTTATAGCCCCCCGTGTGGGATGGCAGCTTCACCATCCATGCAGCCTCTGGCACAGCCCCTCGGCTCTCTGGGGTGCCTGGCTCCATGGCTGGTGGGGCTGGCTGCCCATCACAGAGCAGGGGTTGGTGCCACCCAGCTGAGCCCACTGGAGCCAGCTCCTGCCCGGTCCTGAGCCCCCTCTATGGAGGGGAGCCAGATGCGCTTGCCTGGGGCAAAAGGGACTGCAGGATGTCACCTGGTCCCTGTCTGTGCTGTGGACAGTTGGGACTCTGTCCCTGCCTGTCCTGAGGGCAGATCCTCTCCATGGCCCCTTCCTCCTGTACTGCCCCCATCCATGAAGCCCCCGGCTCACGCAGCTCCTTCCTTCCTGCTCAGTGTTGCTGCCACCCGAGCGTGGCCAGGGGCTGCCTCACACCAAGGGCCCCCAGCCTTCTCCTCCTCAGTATTTAGCTGTGCCTGGTGGCTCTGGCRGCACTGAGGGCAGTCTCCTGCTCTACCCAGAGAGGCAGCCCCCTCTACCCCCCTCCCACTCTCTGGGCTATAGTGAGTGGCACAATGGCAGTGCCAGTCCTGCCTGCTCAGCTCTGCCTTTCACCCCAGCACCAGCAAGGCCTGCCCCGAGGCTTCTTGTGGGACACAGATCAGTGCTCGAGGGCTACTGCCACCTGAGACCCCAACCAGGATGTGGGACCCCAAATGGGGTACACATGGCAATGCCAGGCTCCAGGCCTCCCTGTCCTTCTGCCCCCACATGGCTGGCAGCGTGTCCCCCTGCCCTGCCTGCGGCTGTTCCGTGCCCACGGGCACACACACTYGGTCCCAGGCAGCACCACCACGGTGGGGCTAAGGATGCCAGGGGTGGCCCAGCTGTCACCCCCTCTTCTGTGGCCCAGGGTCTTCGTAACCCTCTCCTCCCCGTGGCTGGGGTCACCGAGGCTCCCTCCGGTCACACATGGGACAGCGGGACCTGCTTGTGGTAGGAGGCCATGCTGGGCAGCACCGTCCTGCCCACCAGCGCCGGGCTGGCCTCACCGTACACAGAGGCGCCTGCAGGCTTCCTGGCCCGGCAGCAGCGGCTGCTGAAGCGCCTCCAGGACTCAAGTGTCTTGCCAGACCAGATCCAAACGCCGGAGGTGATCCCCACCACAAGGCACATGAAGTACTTGAGCATGAAGACAGCATAGTCGGGCTTGGGGCGGTAAGAGTTCCCCGGGCAGGAGCAGTTGTGTGCCTGCTCCCAGGCCTCCCGGTTGTGCTGCTCATAGATGTAGCAGGCAATGACAATGGTGGCAGGCACTGTGTAAAGCACGGTGAAGATGCCGATGCGGATCATTAGCTTCTCCAGCTTGTCGGTTTTGGTGCCGCCCTGCTTGATCACGCTGCGGATGCGAAAGAGCGAGATGAAGCCAGCCAGCAGGAAGAGGCTGCCGGTGAAGAGATAAACCACTAGCGGTGCCAGCACAAAGCCCCGCAGATTCTCCAGGCTYTGGTTGCCCACGTAGCAAACCCCGGCCACTGGGTCACCGTCCACAGAGCTCATTGCCAGTACAGCAATGGATTTGGTGCTGGGGATGAGCCAGGCAGCCAGGTGGAAGTACTGCGAGTAGCTAGCGATGGCCTCATTGCCCCACTTCATGCCAGCTGCCAGGAACCAGGTGAGGGACAGGATCACCCACCAGATTGAGCTGGCCATGCCGAAGAAGTAGAGGAGAAGAAAAACCACGGTGCAGAGGGCAGGGCCTGTGGTCTCATAATGGATGTGGCGGTGCTCCGGGTTGCAAGCCACATTGGCGTGCCCTGCCACCAGCCGCACAATGTAGCCCATGGAGACGAAGAGGTAGCAGGCAGACAGGAAGATGATGGGGCGCTCRGGGTACTTGAAGCGCTCCATGTCAATAAGGAAGGTGGCCACAGTGGTTGAGGTGGAGAGGAAGCAGAGGATGGACCAGAGGCCAATCCAGAAGGTAGCGAAGGTTTTCTCATCCTGGGTGAAGTAGGGCTGGTAGCAGGGGATGGCGCAGTTGAGTACCTTCCCAGTCCTGATGCGGTTGTACAGCGGATGGGACTCCTTGGAGATGGGGATCAGGGGCGCTTTGCACTTRCAAGTCTGACCACAGTCCAGTCTCGAGGAGCGCTGCGCATCGAGCGGCGTCAGGTTTTTGGCTAAGTCCTTGGCAGGACGCGTGGGCTTCCCGAAGAAAGGCGGCAGGGTGGTGGCTTCCGTGTGGTTGTATCCCATGCAAAGCACCTCGGAGTCCCCCAGCACCGGCAGGCGGTCGCAGCTCATCCTCTCGGGCCAGGCAAAGCCGTACTGCTGCATGATGGGCGAGCAGCCGGCCTTGGCCCGCTCGCAGACGGAGCGGCAGGGGGGCAGCGGCTTCGTGTAGTCGGACAGGCAGATGGGGGTGTACATGCTGCAGAGGAAGAAGCGCAGGTCCGGGGAGCACTGGATCTCCACCAGCGGCCAGAACTGGTGCACCTCCAGCCCGGCTTCGTCCTGCGTGTCGTGGTTGAACTGGTTGGGCATGTAGGTGAGGTTATAGCCGATGCCCTTGCACATCGGCACCGTGATCTCCTGGCACACCAGCGCCTTGGAAGCGGCGCGCCCCGCCGCCGGCAGCCCCAGCAGCAGCGGCAGCCCCAGCAGCAGCGGCACCGGCAGCCCCCGGCCGCCCATCGCCGCCGCGCGTCCTACCGCCGCCGCATGTCGTGGACACCTGCCGCCGCCGCGCCGGGAGCGGAGCTCCGCCGGGAGCGAGAGTGAGAGCGGGACCGGGACCGCCGCCGCCACCGCCGCCACCTGCGCTCTGGGGCGGGCGAACGCTCCCGCTCCGCGCCCGCTCCCGGCCCCGCCCCGGGACCGCCCCCGCCGCTGGCCCCACCCCGCCGGGGCTCCCCGGGGCCGCCCCCACGCCCAGCACCGAGTACCGCGGTTGTGGAGCTCCGCCCCGCCTCGGCCCCGTCCGTGTCCCGCCTGCTGGAGGCGTCCCGCCGGGTCCCGTCCGCCGGCGCTCCGAGTCCCGCGGGGCCCCGGGGACAGGCGGCCAAGTGAGAAGATGACGATGCTGCCAAACCACTGACCGCTCCGCATCTGTGCATCTCCTTCCCCTCTTGCCCGCCCGGCTTTTCTCGCCCTCTGAGCGCCGCAACGGCCCGGCCCGGCTTCCCCGGCTCGGCCCCGGGGGCAGCGGCTGGAGGAGGAGGAGGGAGCTGCTGCTTCGCCCCTTCCTCCTCCTCGGGCCCTTCAGCCCCTCTTCGCGGGAAGGGACCGGAGCCTCGTCCCGCCGTAACGGATTGGGATGAACGGCGGGAAACGCTGGGCAGGGGAAGACGTGCAGAGGTTCCTGCCCAGATTTGCCTTGCTCCGGCAAYGGCACATCAGCCCGGGGACAAGGGGCACGGCAGCATCTACCGCCGCTGCCCGCGCCCCAGCTGCCCGGCGGGGCAGCGCTCCCGACTCCCGGAACGCCGAGCCTCGGCGTGAAAGGAAACCCTTCCTGCCCCGGTGCGAGCAGCTGCGCTGCCACATTCCTGGCCCGGATTCCGCTCGCCCTCCGCTCCGCCGCGGAGCCGCTTCCCCAGCCCCTTCCTTCCCTCCCCGGCAGGCGGCAGATGCTTGAGCGCAGCGCGAACCAAAGATGAGACCGTGTCGGGCMAGAGGCTCCTGCCCAGCGCCCTGGGGTCACCGGGCTCCTGCCAGGGCCGCCGCGGTGGTCACCCTCACCTGCCAGGAATCCCAATCCTCGAATTCATGCATTCGCAAACACCAGAATTGCCAGCCTGGTTTTCAGCTGCTTCCCTAAAAGCCCTGAAGCCCAAGGCATGTTCAGGGCTCATGGGGAACAGATCTGCTTCAGAAGCCAGATTCGGGGGTCACAGACTGCAGTTGCTATGGCAGAGCCGATACTCTCGCCAAGGCAGAAGTCTGCTCCCAACCCCTCGCACAGAACTACACACTGCATCTCAGTGCATGTGGATGGGAGGGCAATTTGGACCAAAGTATATCCATCCAGCCCTGGATCTGCTAGTCAAGACACCCACAGCCCATCACAGACAGCTTGCATTCAAGGCCTGGTGCTGAGGAACACCAGCACATAAAATACTCCTAACTGYACCCAGAACCCACAAAGCAAAGACTCAAAGCATAACTTAGCTCCTGCCTCCCTCCCAGAAGTAAAGCCTGGCTTGTTTATCACTTTGTGGCCAGCAGCTGATGTACCCACAAGCAGAACACTGACTGCTGCTGCCATACACCAAAGTCATCAGGGATTTAAGGCAAGAGACTTCATGGCCATCCCTGAAATCCATGCTCACCCAGCCCAGGCATGCATGTTACTTGGCACTGTCAACTTTGATGCTTAACAACTTCTTTTTTTTTTTTTTTTAAAAAAAAGGAAAAGAAAAATCTCATATCCTCTTTGCTTTATGCTGTAAGTTTTGCCTGAAACAGAGCTATACAGAAGAAAATTACCAGTCAGATATTCCTTTGGAAGACAGTGGCATATCGTTGTAGCAGGAGTCATAACTTTTAATTCTCCCCAACAATGAGTTTCTGTGAACTAGCAGCCCAGCAGAAAGCAATCACAGATAGTTTCATTATGGCTGTCAGTTGATTATCCAAATTATGGCTGAGAGCAGAGGGCAGCCTTTTTATTATCATCAGTGCTGCACAATTAGAAAACGCTGATTAAGCTCCATAAGAGCAGAAACTCTCTTTTTTGGTGGCATTTATCATTTTTGTAAGCATTCTCTTGGGCAACATCTTAGTTTGATTTGACACACAATGGRGAACAGGTATATAGGTGGGAAAGGAGAAAATAAGAAGGGGAAAATGGGGCAGCTCTTCATTTCAGTCAATCTATCAACTCTCGTAGCCTGGTTCAGGTTTTGCYGCTCCTCCAGATGTATCTAATTCTTAGAGCCTGGCTGTAAATAATGATGTATTTGCTACACTGGGGACACATAAAATCCAATTAAGAGCCAGGTAGACATCTGTTGGCTTGCTCTGGGCTTCTGTTTCCTTTTTKTTTTTTTATRAATAYGTAGCAGAACAACCAGAACAGGATTAAATATGGTGTAAGTGCAAGTGCAAYTGATAGGTTTGTTACTCATCTCTTCAGCACAGTATGAGAGTACAGTGCTTTACGTGCATCCAGCTCTATTGGTAACAGAAGGTGTGTCTGCACAAAATTTACCGTGTCAAACCCTGCAGGCAAAAAAGAAAGTGTTTCCTGGCCCTAAGAAAATGCTTTTGTTGTTAAAAAACTCGTAAATTATTAAAAATCACTTTACCTTTTATCCRTGTGCAGAGTTGTCCATGAAGCTTCACCATCCTAGACAGGTCTGCTTGGGTCTCCTCCTGGCTGCAGCCCAGAAGATACAGGCACGGACTGACAACACATGTGTCCTTATAGAAATACCTTCCACCCACYGAGGCATTTTCAGCTGGGATGCAGTGATTCCTGGTAGGAGCAGAAAGTAAAAAGGTGATAAATATGTCTGYATTTKGTTCTTTCACAGCTGTTAGTCAGCATACACTGTTTACCTGGACAAACTGCTTTTGTGAAGGATACCATGACTTTTAAAAGACTTTAGAAAAGGACTAAGTGAGTTTCCTTTGTAAAGACTGGCTGTTGCCCTTGCCCTTGTTAGAGACTTTTGCAAAGAGCTTTTCAGTCCAGGCTTTGGGCAGGGACAAAGCCAGAGAGCACTGATCTCGCTCTTGGCTTTGCCAGTACCAAAGCAAGGCAGGAACCTCCTGCCCCTCTTGCCATAGGATCAGAACACCACCCCTGGCCCTCGACCCTTCCTGATTGAAGGAGCAAATCCTGGTTTTGTCTGTACTGCTGACAAGTCTCCAGCTCCCAGGAAGGGAGYGGTGGGGGCCCAGTGCAGGTGACTCTGGTCTCCTGGTGCCAGTGGGCAGCCTGCCAGTCACCCCAGCTGGAGGCTGTGCTGGCTCAGGCATTGCTCGAATTAGCACTGACCCCTGAAAACAAACTGCTTGAGTCAGGGGGTGCTGGGGACCATAAGTTGGTTTGCAGCAGCACAGGACTGTGCCTYACTGCCTGTCATGAGTGCAAGGACAGACATGGCATTTGGCATCACAGTGCAGCCCCCAGGCASTGCAAGCATAGCAGACCCGCTGTGTACAGGTACAAAAGGATCTCAGTGTTTGCCTCACACACAGGACACAGCTGCACACAGCACCAGGGCAGGTATGCTTCTGCTTCCACCCGTGGCGAGTGTTTGCCTTCCCCCCTGCGAGGCTGCCCATGCTGCAAACCCTGGCACCAAGACTGACCTCGTGGAACAGCACCTGGAGGGCTCCGAAATAACACCCAGGTCCTTGCTGGACTCCAGGCAGGAGGGACCTGCAGGCAGGGAGACAGAGGCACTCTTGGCTCTTTGTGAGCAGRCAGAGCAGAGTGAGAATCACTGCCAGCATTTGCAGAGGGACTCTGGCACCCAAATCCTACTGAAGTRCAAAAGCAGCAGGGGTGAACATTTCTCATGTGCCGAGATTACAGGCTGTGGCCTGGGGACAGGAATTCATATTTAAATCACTTAAATCCTTTTCAGCATGCCTTGTTGAAATTCCCTTAAAAATCCTAGCTCACATCAATACAATTCGTTTTTATATATACCTGTGTAATTACACACCTTAACAYATTGCAGGAAAACAAAACCATGTCAAACTGTAGCCATAAGCAAAAGTTACRTGGAACTTGAAAACTTCTGAGTGAATTAATCCAAAACTTGATTTCTAACAGTGACACAGACTTTAGCAACACCTGACACAAGTGCTGAAGTTTGCAAAATGCCACCAGGAATTCCGGTAAGTGAGACCAAAGTAAAATCAGGAAGAGTSGCTGGACATAAAACTAATCTTGACAAACTCATCACTTATTATTTAACAATTCTTGTACTTATAAGTACATATAGAAGCTATGTATTTAGTTTTCTTTGGTCTCCCCAGGCACTGAAACCCCTTCCCATGAGCCACAGTTGGAATAATGAAGGGATGTTCCTGTCCTGAGGTGCCACTACCACAGCATGCAGAGGCAGGATCAGGGCCCGGGCTCAAAGGTACAGGAAGGTTGATGGTCATGAGGATGGGTCTCTGCCATGCCAGAGCCATGGCCAATCTTCAAATCTCCTTGGCTGATTCACACAACGCTGAGATTAGGAGAAGGCAGTGAAGTTCCTTATATTTTATTTTCCGGCAGTATATGTTTATGTTTCCGTGCAGCCTGAAACATCTGAAACTTTTCAGATATGCAGTTTTCGAAACACATCACGTTATGCTTTTTTCTTTTCTTTTTCTTTTTTTCTCATGGGCTCTTGAAAAGAAAACAGTCCCCATAGTGAAGTTGACATGATAAATTAGTATGGCCCTGGCAAAGCCCTCACTCTTCATTTGGCAAATACTTATTTATGGACTTTCAAATTGTGGCTTATGTAACAACAGGGTGAGTGACTTTCAAAAAACCTCYACCATGTATTGACCTGATAGAGCCTAATGGGTCCTTCAGAGCAATTAGGATTTATTGTGTTAGTGTCTATTGTGTAGAGAGACCATTTTAAAAACATGTATTATTTACCCAGAAAGCAGTAATGACTGTTTAAATACAGTGAGATTGTTTCTTCAACTCTTAATGCTCTATACATTGCAAAGAAGTTACTCCAAATATTTTTCAGAGTTAAATACTTTGCTCCACTGGGATTTCCAAGCAGGGTTATTGTGTGGCACATATATTTGTATGCTTATAGCTGTAAGTGAACCAAGCACTCAGGAAAGCTGCAAAATGAGCAA